CGATGTTGCTGTAATTTTTATTTGACGTTGTTGTCGTTTGGCTCAGTAAGTTAATTTGGTTGAGTACCCCTGATTTAAAACCACTTATAGCGCTCTTACACGATAATGTAGTATTTGCATATGTAAATGCTACTTTTCGGAAACGTTCTAATATGCATATTTTACATACGAGTAGATACAAAAAAAAAATACATATGCAAATACATATTGTGTAAGCGGGCTGTAAGGAACGGATGAAGAAATAAATTTATAGCATACTTCTTTGTTGGTAGGTTTGTATTACAAAATTTTTAAATACATACAGAGTAGGGCTGCGCGATTATTCGATTACTCAAGCGAGTTGGTTAATCAGTTGTTCGGTTAATCAATCACTCGAGTTATGAATTCCTAACTTCTTTTTTACAATGTGTATATGAATACCCTATGTATTTAAAAATTTTGTAATACAAACCTACCAAGAAAGAAGGATGCTATAAATACATATACACATTGTAAAAAAGAAGTTAGGAATTTATCAAAGCAAACTCTTTTAACGAACAAATTTTTTTTTGAGGAATTAAAATCTTTATAACTCGAGTAATTGATTAACCGAACAACTGATTAACCAACTCGGTTGAGTAATCGAATAATTGCGCAGCCCTACTCTGTATGTATTTAAAAATTTTGTAATACAAACCTACCAAGAAAGAAGTATGCTATAAAATTATTTCTTCATCCGTTCCTCATTCTATTATATTTCTACTTCTTTATACCTTTAGTATAGTATGGTAACCCACATCGTCGCTGAAATACAAAAATCCGTAACTAACGAATTTGAGCGATTATTATGCTTTTCATTGAATTATAAGTCCCCACATCGTTTTATGCAATAAACAATTTTAGTTAGTTGTGGCTTTTTTGCATTTCAACGACTATGTGAGGTACGCCCTTTCTATACTATACTAACGATATGTAAAGAGTACTTTGAAAATATTACTCATAATGTGGATTAATCATAAAGCAAATTACTCAAATATTTTAGTTTTTAGTTAATCAAAATTAGGGATGTGCCGGATATAGATTTTGTCGGATAACCGGATTCCGGATATCCTGTAAAAAATAACAGCCGGATTCGGATATCCGATCGGATATCCGGTAGACTGCTGCCCTTAATAAATTTCACAATATTGTTTTTTTGCCGGCTCGAGTTCACCTCGACCTCCGCACCGTCATCTGGCATCTTATAAACAAACAAAAAACAATCTTCATCAAATTATTTTCTTTTGAACAATCAAGATGTTTTGTTTTCTTACGTTAATTTTTGTTTAAATTATACAGAACCCGGCTATTAACCTTTTTCGTTTCCGAACGCGTAGGTATGCAATTTCGGCACGACGAAATGAAGAGCTGTGAATGTTCCAATAAATAGTTGCGGCATTTTTGTAATTTTTTCGGAACAGATTCGCACCGTTTCAAAAATTGTTTTTTTTCTGACGCCAATAAAGCTAAAAACTGGGTTGTTGATGAACTAATTCGAAATTATAAATCAGTTAGCATGGAGGAACCAGTTGAATCATATGAAAAATGCCGAACTATAGTGAAAGCTTCCATCGAAGATCGAGCTCACGAGGATATTTGGCAATGCTTTGAGGAAATCGCCAACGGCTCTGATGCTGATTCTAGTGTTTCTAGTGATATGGTTAGCCAAACGATTGGTAGACAAGGCAGCGAACTTACAAGAAAAAAGGCAGCGATTTATGAACTAGAAATAGAGAAATATTTGCAGCTACCTCTTATATCCAGACAAGAAGATCCCTTAACTTGGTGGAAGTATAGCCGCAAAGAATTTCCAAATTTGTTTACACTGGCAATGCAGTATCTCTGCGCGCCACCTTCCTCAGTGAACTCGGAAAGAGTATTTAGTGCATCGGGTAACATTTATGTTGAAAATAGAAATAGGTTGTTGCCCGATAATGCGGAAATGCTTCTTTTCATAATCAAAAATATACAAATTGTTAACTTTGATTACTAATTAGATACTATTAAATTGGATTACAAAAATACAAAATCTGGGTTAAATTTCTAAATTGAATCTTCTATAATCGATATCCGGAATCCGGCCGGATATTAGCCAGTATCCGGCCGGATAACCGGATAACCAAAAAACGGCCGGATAGGCCGGATTCCGGATATCTACCGGATACCCGGCACATCCCTAATCAAAATCTTGATTACTCGAGTAAGTAAATTTTTGAGTAATCATAATTTTCAATTATTCGAGTAATTGAGTTATTTACTTTATGATTAATTAAAATGTTGAATAATCAATTGATCGCACAACCCTAATACAGAGAACTAAGAAAATTTGAATTTCCTGTACATTTTTCAAAATGCTTAGAATCTAATACTAGTGAGTTGGATGTGATTAGTGGTTAGACCTTGCTACGAATTTAACTTGCTTACCTGAGAATTTTGGTCCGCGGCAACTAAGTTGACGTTTGCATTTCAAAAGAAAAGTGTTTAACAGTCAACGCAAATAGTAAAGAAAAACAAGGTTTCTTGCCTTTGGCTGCAAGATCCTCGTCAAATCGTGCTACCTACATACAGTGTTGCCAGGTCTTCGGCATGAGAAAACGTCTCTCTTGGTCTGAAAAAAACATCATTTCCTACACAAAAACGTATTTTTTTTTAACAAATGTACAAAAATTGTTCTTATTAAACTTTTATTGCATACAAAGGTACATATGTTCGTAAGGTTTATTAAAATGTCATATCGACAGAACACATTTAAAATTCATTGTAAACTGGTTTGAGATCGTTAATATAAAAATCATTTTATACATACACTAGTGATCAGCTAATTAAGTCATCAACATTTTGATCGATTTTGGCTGTTTCTCTTTTGTTTATTTAATGTTTATTATTTTTTCATAAAAGCCAAGCTCATTATATGACAAACAAAATATAAATCCACATTTCAAACTTTGTGCAAAAATTATAAAAAATCTGCAAATTTTCAGCTAGATTTTCAACATTTTATTCAGATTTTTTAGAATTTTTTGAGTATGCAGTTTGATAGCCCATTAAATTTCAGGGCAATAAAGTGCAAGTTTAAAGTAACTATAAAATAATCGCGTTGATTTTTAATAATTTTTTTTACTTGTATACATTTGGTTAGGGGCTCGGTTGTCGAAAATGGTAAATTACGCTCTGCTAAGAGGGAGCATAGCAATACTTCAGCCTTTTTTGCGTTCATTACATTTTCAATAAAGTCTTAAAAAAGTTGCCTACTTTTTTCTGACGTTTTATGCTGCACAGCTTCTTTGATGCTTTTGTGAGCGTGCGTGTTGCCATAGATCGGCTCTTCCTGATTTGGCTTTTAATTTGCAATTGCAGACATTACAACAAGCCTCGTAACCTCAAGTGTTTACACAACCAGCCTTTGAACACGGGATCCTTAGTCCAAGAATCCAAATAATGCGCGTAGGCTTGGTTTGCATCATATTTAAGTCACATGTGTCTAAAAAATAAATATCTTTTGAAGTAGCTGCAGCAAAACACAAAGATTGTAAAGATTTGGTAAGAAAATAATTCAAAATCAGTTCTACTTACAAGATTTAGTAACAAAGAAAAATTACTGGGAAGTTAAAAAACGTAATTTTTTTACACAAAAAACGTCCAAACGTCAACAGGATACAAAAAACGTCCGAATGACGTTAAAAACTTCAACCTGGCAACGCTGCCTACATACCTCCTTTCTGTTTTCATACATATGTACATATGCTCAGATATCTACGTATGTACATACAGTATGGTTCATATCAATAGCACCCCCATTTTAAAGTAATATTGTTTGCCACTTACATATGTTTATTTATTTACTTTTAAGAATTTTTAATTAAGATATAGTTAATTCTCTAACAAAACCCATATAAACCCAAGTTTAAAACTTTGTAGAAAGAAAAAAAAAATCCAACGAATTTTCATCCAAATTTCAAGCTTTTTTCTCAGGAGTGTTGGAATTTTCGTTCTCCGAAGGTGTTGCGGTTTTCTTCTATAAATATAAAAATAAATTATGTTTATTCGTTATATGGAAGGAAATGCGACAAACAAATCCTAAAAAATCAACGGTCACTTTTAGCCACTTGAAACTTGCACATTATTACATTAAAATTGAATTGGCTATAAAACTGCATACTTAAAACAATTCTAACGCTTCTGAGAAAAATTTTTTAATTTGGATGAAAATTTGTTGAATTCGTTTTTTTTTTAGTTTTCTACAAAGTTTGAAACTTAGGTTTATATGCATTTTGTTAGAAAATCAACTGTATTTTAATTGAGAATTCTTAAAAATAAAGAAATAAACATAAGGGGCAACAATATCACTTTGAAATGGGGATGCCATTGAATTGACCGCTACTGTAAATATCTAATGACGTTTTCTTTTCTACAAAACATGTTGCCTTTTCATTGCCCTCTCCTTAGTATTTGTGCGTAGAGGGCACTGAGAAGGCAACATTTTTCGGTAGAAAAGAAAACGCCATAAAACATCTTCGGCCTCACTGTTGGAATTCATATAACATGTGCCGGACAATAGGCATGCTATCCTCAATTTTATTTACTTTAGTTTCATATGCATGCTATGTATGTGTTGGAATGAAAACGCTCAAACGTTCAGCATGTATCCTTCCATGCAGGCAGTCAGTCATCAGCCTTTCGAGACCTTCAGATACCCATACATACATAAACGACTGCAACTTACCATCGCACAACCCTCGTCGCAGCTGCCTTTTTGCTGCGTCGCCGTTGCACACAGGATATCGTCAACGGTCGCTGCACACGATCAGTTTAGCAAGGAAAGCCAGTGCGTATGCAACTGGTTCGCATTTAAACATATTCACTTAAATGAAAAATATTGTGAACGTGTCTACGGTGCAAAAAGCTTCCATTTTCGGCTTTGCATTATATTTCAATAACAAACAGTAGTAGAAACAGGAAACGGACAGGTGACCTTAAAGCAATGTGAAACTAGTAGTTAAAACTAAACCAAAGATATATTTTTAAAAGCAAATGCTGTATGTACAGATGTATATATATACATACATGTACTACAAATGTATGTAAAAATTCTAAGGATTGATGAAAAAGTGAAATAATCTCATTCCCGCTTGTGCAACTCCACTCGTGAAATATTTTTTCGCCGAGCATATTGCATTTGTAATGAAGATTGAATGTGTTTTTAATTATACGAATACAATTGTGCGGGTGGCTGCAAACCTCTATTGTATTACTTTCGCTTCATCATATTGAATAAAGGATTTTCCTGCACGAATCGTTATTGTATTGCTGTTGATACTGCAGTTCCGCCCGCAGTTTCCCTGCAAGTGTTTCGGAAGGAGTTTATGTGACTATGAAGTGCCTCCGAAAAAGAAAAGTAGTTGATATGGTAATGACCCTTAGAAAGTAGATGGATATATTTATTTTAATTAACCCCTCATTATTGTAAATACAAAAACTTATATAAATCGTGCCATATATTTACATACATACATACACTCAAACAAATAAAGCTGTGGCGAGGCGTTTTAGCACGTTTTGGCTATTTTTTCTTTAGTTTATTTAATGTTTATTATTGTTTTATGAAAGTATAGCCGATTACTTAACAAACTCCATATACTACCCTGTCCACCTTTACTTCATACACTTTGAAATATTTCTGCTTCAAGATTGTAGAAATATTTCGAACTCCCCCTCCAACTTCCAAATTTTTTGCTATATATTCAAAAATAGTACCAGGAAATGCTAGCTTACTGTACTGGCTGTACACCAGAGCTCGGCAGTGAATACCCTGCAAAAATGGCGACTACTCCATGCATGCATGTAAGGAGTACTCCCGAAGGACCAAGTACTCCAAAATTAACCACAATTCATATAAAAAATACGGTCCAATTAACATTGCGATGTCCTAGGGCAGGACCATATACTCCATCTCTGCATTCCATGAGAGTAGCACAAGACTACTCCCAACATACTCCAATGACATTGTCGTTATATTTTTTCGTTTGTACGCGCTTTTGTTCTTCACTTCGCATATGCTTTTTTTGAAATTAATAAAAACCGAAGACAAAAATTAAAAATTAAATGTTGCCTCTGACGACATTCGAACCTGAACATGCTGGGAGCTAAGAACTAACAGCTAGCATCTCTACACGTTCAGCTACAGCCAGACATGCAAATGTACTTTCAAATGCTTAACTTCAATCACATTTCGTTAAAACACGAGCAGTGATCGGGTAACAATAAGCTGGTGCAGAGACACGAGTTGGTCCGCTACAGCATGACAGAGGAGCACTTTTGTAAGTACTCCAATATACCACAAATAGACTACATGGTCCAACGATTTTTGCAGGGAAACAATAAGCTGGCGCAGAGACACGAGTTGGTCCGCTACAGCATGACAGAGGAGCACTTTTGTAAGTACTCCAATATACCACAAATAGACTACATGGTCCAACGATTTTTGCAGGGTAGCTCAGCTTATGAATATGCTCACATGCTCATGAAGGTCGGTGTTATGCAGACAAACTTTTGTTTGCCAAATTAAATGGCGGCTGCTTAGTTTGCTCGGAGGTGGTTTTGTCGAGTTTGGCACAGTGTTGCACGTTCATTATGGTTTTCATGGCTAATGCCAACACGAAATGAAATTTCAGATGTACATAACGTGCACAATTAATATATTTTTTATGATATCGTATAAACTATTGACTGTGCCCTAATCTTTGAAGCTCCTACAGCATAAATTCAGTTATCTGGCTTTCGGTATCACGGCAATTTTTGTGTATAACAACAATTATCTAAAATTTTTGTATACGGCAACACCGAATGTGCTGCAGTTTGACCAAACAAACTTAGTTTGCTGTGAGAGTCGCCAAACTCGCTCTCTCCGAGTTTGCTGCAACAAAAATTGCACGCAGTTTGCCAAACAAAATTTCTGCATAACACCGACCGAACAGGCATGGGCAGCAGTGTTGCCGTTTTAGCCATTTGGTGGCTAGATTTAGCTACCACATACTTGTTTTGGCCACATAAATTCAAAATTGCCCCTAGCCCTTTTTTTAGCCCTTTGGAGAATTGATTCATATTTGGCATGAAAAAGTTGTATATGCTTAATTCGATCTAGTTTTTTGTTGCATTTATGTAGGAGATGAATTTTGAAACTAAAAAAGACTGATATATACATACATATATATATTGTATGTTCCTTACGTTTTTATACATACATACTGTAAAAGTGTTAGGGCTGTTAACTTATCTATTAACGATTTAACTATAGTTTAAAATAGAGAAGTTTACGGCCCTTAATATGCTTAATTTTTTAAATGACCCACCAAGTCGATTGACCGTGTATGTTCTTGTAGTGTGATTGTACCAGCTGCTGGTGCGACTTCAAAAACTATTTGAAAATTTGATGATTGTACCAGCATGCTGGTGTCGTGAGTGGTGAAATTAGCTAAATTTTCTAAGTAAAAAATATTTTGGCGGAAATTTCTTGCACTATATGAGTCGGCCGCTGTGGTGTAGTGGTAAGCAGTGCGCGCTTCCACTCCGCAACGCCTGGGATCAAGCCCTGGTCAAAGCAACATCGCAAAAAAATTTAGGAAAAGGTTTTTTCTTAACAGCGGTCGTCCCTCGGCAGGCAATTGGCAAACCTCCGAGTGTATTTCTGCCATGAAAAACAGCTTCTCATAAAAATACAATCGCCGTTCGGAGTCGGCGTAAAACTGTAGGTCCTTCCGCTTTGTGTGACAACATCAAGGCGCACGCCACAAATCGGAGGAGAAGCTCGGCCAAACACTAACATATGTGTAAGCGCCAATCTATTATTATTATATGAGTCAAAGCCGTGTTTGTGGAAGATTAAGTTCCCGATATTGCAGTTGTAAATTAAAAAAACAAACTTGTAAAGAAATGAATATTGTACCAGCATGCTGGCAAGTTATATGCTTCGAGTCTGATGGCTTGATGGCTCACTTGATGGAGCCAGCAATCTGGTGTCGTATATTTCCCCTTTTATACAAAACAGTTTTTGGTTGGATAAAGAATTTGTTTCTTTCCAGAGTTCATTGTTTTTCTATACCATTGCTTATTGAAAATGTGTGTGTATTTATATATATATGTATATGTAAGTAAAAAAATTTAGCCACCATTTTTAGCCACAACGAATTTTTTAAGCTCTTTTTTAGCCCCTTTTTTTTAGGAATTTGGCTACCACTAAAAAGATTCGCGGCAACACTGATGGGCAGAGAACGAGTACACGCTCAAAGACCGTAATCATCGTGTGTACGTATGCAAGCATGAGCGTAACGATGAGAACGCGACAGCATGCAAAATGAATTAGGTACACTAACACATTCTCACTTTTAGCTAACGCTTGTTTGTGGTAGTACCCACCTCTGCTCATGGATCACCCCATTGTTCACTCAAACTTGCTCTCACTAAAAAATGTTACTCTCTCACAACTGCTTGGCTTGCTTGTAAACTAGTGAGCATGAATATCTTTCACAATCGCTGATCGCTTCCACATGGCTTGGCTTGCTTCTCTTTATGAAATTATTAGATGCATAGTTGCCAACTTAGTGCTTTAAGCACTAGATTTAGTGCTTTTTGAAATTTAAAACGCCAAAAAAAAATTATTTAGTGCCTAGTGCATTTTTTAGAGCTTTTTTCTGAACTAAAATTACTTCGAGATAGTTAAAACCTGAAATAATTTGAAATATTTAAAGCTGTGGCAGCACTCAATTTATAAGAATCTACAAATTTAAATGGACTAAAATACAACCATGATTGATAAAAAGCTGAAGTTGCAAACCCACATTTTAAATTCTATTCGCGTTGAAAATGCTAGTACGCAAGTAATTTAAGTATTTCTNATTTTTTAAGCTCTTTTTTAGCCCCTTTTTTTTAGGAATTTGGCTACCACTAAAAAGATTCGCGGCAACACTGATGGGCAGAGAACGAGTACACGCTCAAAGACCGTAATCATCGTGTGTACGTATGCAAGCATGAGCGTAACGATGAGAACGCGACAGCATGCAAAATGAATTAGGTACACTAACACATTCTCACTTTTAGCTAACGCTTGTTTGTGGTAGTACCCANGTAACTTTTTTTGAGGGATGGTTTATTATTATGGGTGACCCCGTCAGCAAAAAAAAAAAATGAAAATCAACGCGAATTCTTAACCAATTGAAATTTGCAGTTCCTTAATCTCGAATTTNAACGCTTGTTTGTGGTAGTACCCACCTCTGCTCATGGATCACCCCATTGTTCACTCAAACTTGCTCTCACTAAAAAATGTTACTCTCTCACAACTGCTTGGCTTGCTTGTAAACTAGTGAGCATGAATATCTTTCACAATCGCTGATCGCTTCCACATGGCTTGGCTTGCTTCTCTTTATGAAATTATTAGATGCATAGTTGCCAACTTAGTGCTTTAAGCACTAGATTTAGTGCTTTTTGAAATTTAAAACGCCAAAAAAAAATTATTTAGTGCCTAGTGCATTTTTTAGAGCTTTTTTCTGAACTAAAATTACTTCGAGATAGTTAAAACCTGAAATAATTTGAAATATTTAAAGCTGTGGCAGCACTCAATTTATAAGAATCTACAAATTTAAATGGACTAAAATACAACCATGATTGATAAAAAGCTGAAGTTGCAAACCCACATTTTAAATTCTATTCGCGTTGAAAATGCTAGTACGCAAGTAATTTAAGTATTTCTTTTTTTTTTCTTTTCTAATTATTTGTACAGATTTTGATTTTTTTTTACCACCTGAGTAAAACACATCGTTTCTTGGTGCTGAATCCAAATCTGGCCTCACAATTGCTCTAGCACTAGAATTTTGAGAAATCCTAACCCCAAAGTGCCAAAAACACGTTTTTTAGCGATATTTGAGGTTATATAATGAAAACGTCAAATTATTTGCTCATTTATAATTAGGGCATCATTTTCGTTTGTTGCGATTCGATTTTTCTTTCTCGAGATATACCAGTTTTAATGTGCAGTACTTCGGTATTATGATATGAAAAAAGCATCCCTTGATTCAAACAAATTTGGTGCTTCTAGTGTGATAAAACGCTTTTTTTCCAAGTTTTTGGTGCTTTTTGAAAATCAAAAGATGGCAACACTGGCTAGATGAGTTAAGTGGCTCATAGTTTATTCATGAACACATACACAAATTCAGCGCCTCTGCAGTTTTGCTTTGCGCGCAAGACCGTTTGCTACGTTGAATGAGTGCAGGCATGTGAAAAATGATAGGGGTTGAAATTTGGATCAGCTTTGACTATTTTTCTTTTGTTTGTTTAGTGTTTACTAATTTTTAAAAAAATATTATCTTACAAATTTCAAACTTTGTAGAAAAATTAAGAAAATTCGATAAAATTTCA